GCTCCTGCACAGCGGCGTGGCGAGCCTTGTGGCCACGAGCTGCTTCCTGCTGCACGCTGGGTGGCTGGCGTACATCCTGAGCGAGTTGCGCCCCGTGAGCGGCAAGGACGCTCCGTCCCTCCTCAGTCCTCGTCCTCCCCTCCCTCCTCCCTCATCCTCCTCCTTCTCCTTCCTTTTCTTCCATCGCTCGCTCGTCGTGCGATCCTCGACTTCGTCGTCGCCACATTCTCCCGAAGTCTCCCCCCTCCCCCCTCCTCCGCCTCCTACTCCGCCTCCTCCTCCTCCTTCCCTCCCTTTCCTTGCCTTCGCCTCCAGCCAGCGTCACTCCTCCTTTCTCCCTCGTCGTCGTCGTCCTCCTCCTCCTCGCCAGTCCCCTCGGAGGCGCCCCCGCAGCTGCTTGCCTCAATGGGGTTTGCCTCAAAGGGAGTAGTGCGGCCCCGTCCGAGTGCGAAATCTGCCCTGCAAGGTCCTACGTTTCACAGCGAAGCGCCGCTCTGAGTTCCGAGCGTAGCGAGGTCTCAGAGCTTCAAACTGCATGAGCCGAGTTGGCATGCGAACTCCACGAGCCCGATCCAGATCCCGATCCCCCTCCCAGTTACACGGATGGAGGGCGGCTCCTTTTAATGATGTGGTTCTCGTTTTTGGCGCCGCGCACACCTGTCTCAATTGTGCCGCACAAGTTCCAAGGAGGGAGCACTGGTGGTTTTCGAAATCGGGCTCTCGTCTTCGTGCCGTGCACATTCGTCGTACAGGTTTGCAGCATTTGCAAGGATGGAGGGCAGCTCCCTTTTTGAATGGTGCTCTCGTCTTCCCGCCGCGCACATCTGCTACCCTCGCTTCAGACCCCCTGACGCTTGATGTTCCGAAGCTTATGTAAACATATTTAGAAGCTGCAATGATGGGGGGCGGCCCCTTTTCATATGGCATGTGGGGCTTTCGCTTGAGGCTTCCTGCGTGTGCATGGCCAGGAGTGTGGACTTGTGCAACACATACACGGGTGCGGAGCGTTTTTTTTCAAACTGGGGCTCTCGCTGAAGGCATCGCTGAACTGCATGAAGAGGCCTTGTCGCATTCATGATTGCGTGCTGGACGAATGTAATGCAAGGGAGCTCCGTTTCAAAACGGTGCTTTCGCCCGACTGGCAGAGGTTGCTGAACTGTCGAGGGGGTGCCTTTTCTTGTCGTGAAGAGAGTGGGAGGGAACTTGGAACGAGAAGCTTCTCCGTCTCCTATTCCTCCTCTCTCCCCCTCCATCTCCCATCCCCCTCCTCCTGCTCCCCGTCCTCGTCCTCCCCCTCCTCGTCCTCCTCCTCCTCCTCCTCCTTCTCCTCGTCCTCGTCCTCCTCCTCCTCCTCCTCCTCCTCCTCCTCCTCCTCCTCCTCCATCCTCCATCCTCCACCCTCCATGCTCCACCCTCCTCTTCCCTCCTCGCTCATTCCCCTCCCTTCTTTCGCCGGCCCCCGCCTGGCCATCGCGGCGCGTGCTCGCTGCAGAGCTCTGCACTGCGCCCTGCCACTCCGCCGCGCAGAACAAGTGTGCCCTCGTTGCCCGACCACACCAGCAGACCATCCCTGCCTCCCAGGTCCCACGGAGCAGGAAACTGGAAGGGAACTGGAGGGGAGCCAAGAAGGGAAGGGAAGGGGAGAGGCAGAGGGAAGGAAGCGACGGGGAGGGGGAAAGAACAGGCTGCTGTCCGATCGGCTTGGCGCTGGGCATGCTCAGCATGCTCATGCTGACTCGGGGCGGGCGGCGGCGCCAGTGTACAGCCTTCGACACCGCCCGAGAGCCGGCAGGATCGGGCGGCCCCAGCTCCCCAGCAGGGTGGCGAGGAGACGGGGAGAAGGGAAAGGGACGGCACGGGGCGGGAGGGGAAGGACGGGAATGGGGAAGGGGAAGGGACAGGAGGGAGATGGGGGGGAGAAGGGAGGGGGAAGGAGCGGGGCGGAATGGGGGAGAGGGGAAGGCCGGGCCCTCCCCGCCGCTGCTCCCTCCCCCGCGCCCCTGAGCCCCGCCAGGACGGTGAGCTGCCGCCCCGCTTCCGGGCGGTCCGTCCCTCGCCCCTCCCCCCCGCCGGGGACGTCGCCGTCCTCGTCGTCGTCGTCGTCGTCGTCGTCGTCGTCGTCGTCGTCGTCGGCGTCGGCGTCTGCGTCTGCGTCTGCGTCTGCGTCTGCGCCGCCGTCGCCGTCGTGTGGGCCTGCGTCGGTGTCACCAGGTCCCGGCCGCAGATTCGGGTCTTGCCGTTTTCTGTCTTTGTGTGATGTTTTTCGCGGTAGCTGCATTGGGTCCCGCCCACCTTTGTTTGCCTCTATCTGCCAGTTTTACCGGCGGTTCAATATCATCCTCCCCCTGCCCCCCGAATCCTCATTCTGACGCCCCCTCATCATTCCAGTTCTCATCCTCAGCCTCCTCCTGCCCCCTCCTCATCACGATTCTCCGCTCCTCAGTGCTTCTAAGTCTGACGTTTCCCTCGTCCTCATCCTCGCCTTCCCTGTGCTACACTCCTCCTCTTGCTCCTCCCTCCTCCTGTGCCTCCGTATCATCCTCTTCCCCCTCCAGTTGTTGACGCCCACATTGGTACCGCAGCAGCGAGCCGAGCAAGCGAGACCGCAGGAGATGCCTTGGCGTCGGCACCCGAGACGGAAGTCGTAAGTTCGAAGCGGCACCGAGTGGCCGACGAGGAGCGTGGATGGGTAGGAGAGAGGAGGAGGAGGAGGAGGAGGAGGAGGAGGAGGAGGAGGAGGAGGAGGGAGATGATGATGATGATGATGATGATGATGATGATGATGATGATGATGATGATGATGATGATGATGATGATGATAATGAGGATGAGGAGGAGTAGGATGAGGATGAGGATGAGGATGATGCTGCTGATGCTGATGATGATGGTGATAATGATACTGCTGCTGCTGATGCTGATGCACTGATGGTGATGGTGATGGTGATTATGGTGATTTTGATGATGATGATGATGATGATGATGATGATGATGATGGTGGTGGTGGTGGTGGCGATGCTGGTGACGATCATGATGGTGATGATGATGATGAGTATGAAAATGTTGATGGTTGATGATGCTGATGATGATGATGATGATGATGATCGTGAACATGAGGTATGTGCTGATGCTGCAGATGATGACGATGGTGATGCTGATGCTGATGATCAAGAAGAAGCTGGTGGTGATTATATGATGATGATTACGGTGATGATATTGACGATGGTGATGGTGATGATGGTGACGATATTGATGCTGATGCTGATGATGCTGATGACGATGATTATTTTGATGGTGCTGATGATGGTGATTGTGATCATCATTGATTGATTGATCGATTGTTTGATCATGATGATCATGATGATAGTGGTTGTTGTAGTGATGATGATGGAAATGATGATGGTGATGATGATGCTGATGTTGATGATCACGGTGGTGAAGTTGGTGGTAGTGGTGATGGTGATGGTGATGTTCATGATCGTGATCATCAGCATGATCATGACCATGATCACGAAAAGATGATGGTCATGATGATGATGGTCATGATGATGACAACGCCCACAAAATGGGGACCAAGCTGAGGCACAATGCGAAGCTCCGTGAGTCACCACGCAAGCCCGCACGCCAACGAATTTCAGTACACAATATGATATGCAAGTGAAGACCTGTAAAAGCGAAGCGCCAACTCAAGACGCGATGAAACTGGGTGAGCAACGCATATCATATTGTGTACTGTAATTCGTTGGCGTGCAGGCTTGCGTGGTGACTCACGGAGCTTCGCATTGTGCCTCAGCTTGGTCCCCATTTTGTGGGCGTTGTGTTTTCCTCCTCCTTCCTCCCCCTCTTCCCCCCTCCCCCCGCGTCCTATATCATGACGTGCTGGTTTTTGTGAATTGGCTGGTTGGGCCATTCTGTATCTTCCAGCTCGCTCACACACACGGGGGCGATACGTTTTCCGGCGGGAAAAAATAGTGATGGTCATGATGATGAGGATGATTGGTGATGTTGATTTTGATAATGATGATGATAATGATGATGACGATGACGATAACGATGCCGACAACAACGACGACGACGGCGAGGATCACGATGATGACGATGCTGATGAGAAGGATGATGATGATGGTGGTGATGGTGATGGCGATGGTGATGGTGATGGCGATGATGATGAAGATGCTGAGGATGATGATGGTGATAATATTGGTGATGATGATAATGATGATGTCGATGACGATGCCGACAACAACGACGACGACGGCAGCGATCACGATGACGATGATGAGGATGATGATGATGGTGATGGTGATGGTGATGATGATGCTGATGCTGATGCTGATGATGATGCTGATGCTGATGCTAATGCTGATGCTGATGATGATGATGACGATGATGATGTTGATGATGATGATGATGATGATGATGATGATGATGATCGGGTGAGTGGTGATGGGGGGCCTACACATGGTGGGTGAAGAATGCAGTACCTTTGGCACAATCTTATGCCAGCGGTTCACTGCGCAGTGGAATCTACAGTGCCGTTTTTTTATACATGCTCCGCGTGCGGATCATGTATTAAAATAAAGGGGTGTAGTACTAAAAGCAATGATGAACTTATGCATTGATTTATTCGTTAATAATACATGTAGTAAAAATCCCATGTATTAAAAATCCTATGTATTAAAACCTGCCCTGTACGCGGGTGAAGCATCTGGCAGTATCCGGCCGATGGAGCAGTGTCAGACCCCGAGGGGGCTGCGCGGCGACGCCCCCGGCCGCGTGCGCGCGGCCGCCGTGCCCCGCCAAGCAGTGGATGCATGTTTTGGGCTTCCCTCGCTTCGTGCAGTTTTCAGCATCGGGCCCCTTTAGGGACACCTTCGAGCAATTTTTTGACCCCTCGCGGCAGATTGGGGCCACTTTTGGAACACCCACATGCGCTGCAGCTATTGGCCTCTAGCCGTTGCTGCGCATCAGAATGTCTGAGCGGCAGGCTGCCGCGCGCGACA